GGCCCCTGAATATCTGAATATTTAATTCATGATAAGATTTTAGTGAAAACAATATTTTCACTTAGTGTTAAAAACGAGAAATTTGGCAACGTCGCAGCTGTAAACACAACGATATGGGATATTGTGTGCCCAGCTACGTAAAACTTTATTCATTCGGTATTCTTTTCGGCACAGTTCTTCGCCTGGTTGGGCCAGTTGTTTGGCTCGGACGACTGTGAACTTCGACTTGGATTGGGCTGAGCTGCGGCCGGGGCCGGGGCTGGGACTGGGGCTGGCTTGGCAATAAACTTGAATTTTATTGTCGTACAAGAATGTTGCAATATGCTTGGCCATAATTTCACGTCTTGCACATTGTTGCCAAAAAACATTTGCTAGCCCAGTCGATGTTGTGGTTTTTAGCTTAACGCCTCTTTTGATTGCTCTTTCGGTGCGCCCCAAAAGCGCCCACCCGCCCTGGCATTCCCATAGCCTGGCCCTATCCTTTAACTTGTGACATTATGAAAAGTGAGCGACAGCCGAAAATTGTGTTTGACTGGAAAATTTGCATTTTATGAGCACTCAAAAATATAAATAATAAAAGGTTTTTCTCGGCAGATTTGCTTAGTTTTTATAAATGGGCTTTGCCATGGGTAATATAAAATGAAACGAAAATACAAAATAAATTATAAATAAAAATAATGTTTGCAAAAGGCGGCTGGGGCGTGGCCAAGCAGCAAGTTTGCTGCAACTAATTTAAAATTTATGATGACAAAAATGTGCTGCACTTGAGAGCTGCTGCAGCTCCAGCTGCAGCTGCAAAGTTGCAAGTTGTGTTTCAGGCGGCAAAAACAACCGAAAATAGAAGAGCTCATAAAAATGGGTGACAAAAAAGGCGAAAGGCGAAATGCAAACAGCAAACAGCAAAAATGGCAAATGGCAAATGGCAAATGCATAAAACACAAATAAAATATTCATTGCATACTTTTAGTCGTTCGAGTTATATTTTTCATTTTGCATTTATATCCAATTTGGCTCTGCTCTGATATTTTTGAATACCCTGCAACAAGACCACACAGCGGCATAGCAAAATTCTATCATAAGTTAGCCCCAATTCGTGTTGCGAATGGGATTTAGAACCAGGTTTCTTTTCCGCTTAAAACCTTTGAAAAGGTGCATATTTTCAGGAACTAACTTAAAGAATTCCTGCATTATCAAAACACTTTAAAGTAGTTAGTTGATATTAAAACTTAATTTAAAACAGGGCGTCTCTAGGTATCCCATTTAATCCCAAATAGCTAGTAGATCTATATAGAATCAGCACTATTCATGCATTTTTGTTGACTTAGACGCTTGAGTAGTGCGCTGGGCTAAGCAGCGCGACGCTTCTGCACGAAGTTGAGGGATCGTGCCCCCTTAAAGATCGAAGAAACAAAAACTTGCAGCATTTTATTATATTAATAAAATTAAAAATAAAATATTCCCATTTCTTGCCGTGCATCAAGGAGCATATATCACCTGTTATACATCATATTTAAAGTTTCTGCTAAACGAACTTTTTAACAGTTCTTAGACAAAAAATATATAAATTAAGAAAAACTAAGTTAAATTCAATTTTCTTTATAAAATAAATCCTTTAAATACAAAGCTTTGAAAGAAAATTTTAAAATTATTTATTTAAAAATTTGAAAAAAAATTAAATAAATAAATAAAAGAAAACCAAGTTCGATTGAATTTACTCTACAAAATAAATTACTTAAAACCAAAATCTATTAAACGTTGTTGAAATTATTTTCAAAGCTAACTTTTTAAATACAATGCGTTTTTAAATTTTCTTAATTTTTTGTATAAAATTTTTTTTTGTGAAAACTTCAAGCAGAGCATCTACAAGTCGAGCAGCGCAAATGAGTTCATACTTCTAGTTGTTTGTGTTCATATCCGGCGCTGCTTTGCTTTGATATAAATTCATAAATATATATATATTTTTTTGTTGACTGCTTTGCGAAATTTGCTGCCAATTAAATATTGAAAAGTGCAGCAGCAGCATTTCAGGTGTTCAGGTCAAAGGTTCTTGGAGTTTTTACTTTTCGCCATAAACGAGTTTTAGTATTCACATTCAATTTTTGATGCTCGCCCGCAAAATAAAGAGGGTATATTGGGCTTGGCCGACTTGCTGCCTGTTAGATAAAATCGTGTATGGCTATGGCTACGCCCACAGGAGGCGTGGCAAATCTATATATTGTGCTAAAAAGAACATTCATTCCATTCGCAATGAAGACTTCTGATGAACTCCGCTTGAGATCGATAATAAAATATTTATCGAAATAATCGATATTTGTTTTAAGCTGTTCGTGGTACTGTGAGCGGGCATGGCTCAGTTGGCTGCACACGATTCATACTCGTTTTAATTTCTTTCATTAAAAGCGACATGCGACAATGCACAAAGCAAACGAATGCATCCGCCATACTCACTTCATTCACAACATTCCTGCCACCCGCACTGGCCTGGCAAATATCAACAATGGCCTGCAAAGTTTCCGTTGCATAGCAATAGGCGCTGCACATATGCACATGCATGGCTATGAACACACACACACACACACACACACACAAACACACGCGCGTGCACACACCTTGACACCAACGTCGTCTAACATAATGAAAACAACAATGCAGCCGCTGGAAGTGAGCAACTTTTGAAGAGGTCATTTCGGGTTATTTGTTAACTTCTCGAACGGCACAAAGAGAATATGAGATAGGGGTGCACTTGGGGGAGGGGGAGACGTGCTAAAGGCGAGCGGCATACCTGCTGCTAGCCAAGCTGCCAACTTGCTGCAAATGTGTCAAGACTCTATTTGGCCCGGCACATTTATTATAGATGCGAAAAGTTTGCAAATAGAACTCTGCAAACGTGTGATTGTGTTTTCCTTTATGCTCTGTTCATAAGTCTATCAAGAGCATATTGGTTCGGTCTGTGAGACAGGTATGTCTGACTTTATCTATAGATTAGTTCCAATCCTCAAGCCAAAAATATTCCCATCTCGATTTTTCCAACCCTCGCCCAAAAAACTGATGCCTCCCTTTTAAGGCTAACTCTCGACAACAAAGTATCTTATTTCGAATCGTAATCCCAACAGTTACATTCATCTGAAAGTCATTTTACTTTTAGCTGAGAACGAGAATCTTCTCTTGTCAGAGAATCTTCTCGTGATTGTAGAAAACGGGAGTCTCCTCTTGAAGGAGTCTTCGTGATTGCCATTCATTCGGATTCAAACTCAACTTTAAAGAACCTTGTGAAAATTCATTAAAAATAATCTAGAAAAAAATCGGATAAGCCAGCCAATCCTGTGTAGAAAATTGAGACCTCAGTTTGATGAGCAAAAGTTAAGTTCTTCGTTTAAAACTCATATTCAAATGTGTTTCCAAAAATGTCATTTAAAGCGCGGAAGACTAATGTTGAAATTTTCCAGAAATAAACTTTGGCAAGGCTGGGTTATCTATATGTGACACGTAAAACGTAAAATTTTAACTGAAAAAAACGCGTACAAATATGAAAATATGAGCAAATGTTCCACATATTTATGCATTCATTTGTTTAACTTTGGGCTGGGGATTTTATACATTTTATTGTGATTGAAAAAGATCCTTACACAAAATACATATACCTGAAATGGGCATTAAGTATGGGCGCGCCCAGCATAATGCATAATTCATGCAGCAAAAATCATTGAAGTGTAATTAATTTATGTCACGACTCATGACCATGTAACCATGTGAAGTGTATACACCGTGTGGCATGTGTGCAGAGATGAAAGTAATCCTCACACACACAGACACATTTTAATAATTCATATAGTTTTTGCATTGCTGCGCCGCTAGATGGCGCTGCCAATAAGCCTAATGACAATGCCGTCGCATATCGCTGCGAGCTCCCTGGAGGTGAGCAGGCGCGGATCGGGGGCTGCTGCCGCTGCTTTCATTTTGGCCAAACGCCTAATGACTTAATTAGGCTAATCATAAAAGGACTCAAACACTCGCACACACACACACACACACACACCGTGTGTAGAAATTGTCAACAGACAGCTGCACTATTTCCGCTACAAATTAGCCAAGGGGCAAGTAAGGGAGCTACGGGGGGAGGGCTCTGTTCCTGGCAAGTAGATTAGCTTTTGGCCTAATAGTTGTATAGGGCCGTCATAAAAATGTTTTAACCATGGGCCACATAAATCATCATTAAGCACAAGTCTGTGCGTGTATGTGTGTGTGTAATTAATGTGTCTGTGCGTCACTTTGTGCTTGTTATATTATTTTTTTTTCTGCTCATCTTCTTCTTGATGCTCACTTATTAACTCATTTACGCTAATCAACAAGTCCCCAAGCGTCCCCATGCCCGCCGCATGCGCTTAACCATTATGAACTTGTTCCAAAACAAACTATCAACGGAACCAGTTAACCACATTTTTATTCACTTGATGCGAATTAAAATGCTCCAATTGATTCTAAAATTGAGCTCCTCATAAGCTCACAAGAGAAAGTAACGAAACAATGAACTGAACCAGTTCCACTTTATTTCGGTCATTGAACCTGTTCAGTTTTATCAAAGTATACATAATTCAGACACTAAACATTCAAGAACTGCATTTTTTCATAGTGTAATTGAATCTGCGGCAAGAAAAACCTGCATTAAGTGCAAAATAGTTCTATTGAACCAGTTTTATTCCGGTTCCGGTGCCAGTTCGCAACTAAGTTTGCGGATTGACATTTTTTTTTGGTTATATTCAATGCCAGCGGCTTCTGCATGATATAATAAAAAACTTTTAAAAGCCAAAACTGAGAGCTGAACTAGTTCGCGATTGCTTATTTATTGTGCTTAAGCATACCGATTCCGATAGAATATGAAATTTTCACATGTTCTCAATAAAGGAGAGAGAAAATGAAAGGATTCAATGCTGTGGAGCGCTGAACCAAACCAGTTTAATTTGGTTTCAGATAGAGTTTAATAGAAAAGCATTTGGACTCACCTTTTCGCGCAGCATATCACGAATGCGACCCGCTTGATTCTTGGAGCGATGCAGCTCCAACTGCAGCTCCAAGCAGCGCTCCTGCCAGTTGATCTGCAAGGGAAAGAGAGAGGTCAGTGGAACTTTCTTGAGCCGATTACTCTGGGACGCACCTCGGGCAAGGCCTGTCCATAGTTGTTTAGCTGATGCACGTTAAGATGCTCGGTTAGCGTGGAGAAATGCGGCCAGGGCGCGTCGGGTGCATCGAGGGCGGCAAGCACGGCATTTACCGGGGCTGCTGCTGTGTTCGGCTGCAGCTCCTTGGCCGGCTTGGCCGGTATGGGCGGCGGGCGTGGCACTCGGCGCGGCATTAGACGCGGACTGTTGGGCGTCGAGGCGGCAACGAGGCGTGCCTCATGCAGCTGGGCGGCGCGCGTCAATGGCATCTGTCCGCTAAACGAGGTGGCGCGCTTGGCCAGCAGCGGTGAGCCATGCAGCGACTGTGAGCCAGAGCCAGAACCGGAACCGGGCGCCGAACCAGACCCGGAGCCCGACAGCCGCCCGGGCAATGAAGGTGGCTGCTGCAGCTGATGTTGTTGCTGCTGCTGCTGCTGTTGATAGTAGTGTGAGGAATGTTGCGCGGCAGCCGAGGCCGGGAACGTGTGCAGGTAGCTGGCGCCATCTTGCGGTCGCAGAAAGTAGTTGTGTGTGTGCGTGTAGTAGAGCGTCTGTGTGGCGGCCACGCCCAGCGCTGCGGCGGGCGTGGCACGGCCCGATGTCGACGCCGAGGCACTCGCTGACGGTGACGGCGATGAGGAGGCCGAACGTCGACGCTGCTCCGCTGCCGCCGCCTGATGCTGCAGCTGCAGCTGATGCTGTTGTTGCTGCTGCTGGTGTTGTTGTTGTTGTTGCAGTTGTTGTTGTTGTTGTAAGTTGGTAAGTGTATCAAAAATTTGCGATAAACGTCCCAAAGGCACTTCGTCAGACATTTAGGCGAGCGACGGCAGCTGCAAGGATAAACAATTAGAAAAAACTCAGTTAAAAGCGCGTCATTTGGGGTTTTAAAAAGCTGAAATAAAAACTGCACCAACTAGCAAATCGCACTTCGCACCAGCTAAAAGGCCACAAAACAGGTTCAGTTGTCAAATAAACACTTTTCCCTACAGTCCTGACCTAAATGCACACAACATCAGAGCATTAAAACAAGGCTGCAAAACGTTTTATATATACATTCCTATCTCTGCCCGTCTACCGTCCGCAGAACGAGTTTATCATTTCTTATCGATATCTCTCGATATCAGAACTCGAATTAAGATTGTTTATAATATCGAATAATATGTAGGCAGATTAAAAATATTTCTATATGTTTTTAATATTTGATCCATCATATAGGTTAGATTGAAATCTAGCATTAATTTATCGCCATGGCAAAGCAAACGTGCGCAAAATGCAACAGAGACAAAAAGGATGAAAAAAAAACTGAAAGCGAACGGGCAACTGCTGTCTATTGAGCAAGAGCCCAGTAATATGGGAATTGGGGGAATTCGAGAACTGAGCAAAGCGGAGAACTACAACTACAAGGCGAACTTGTCAGTTAACTGGGTGGAACCCATCTGCCAGAATGGGAGCAACAACAGGTGCGCGAATCTGGGGCGTCAATTGCGATTACGTGTGCGCAATTTTTAATCAAGCCGGGCAGTTGCCCGTATTTGTACTCAGTTTTTGTGCAAAAGTCCCAGCAATTATGGCCAGCATTGGCAAATTGAATGTGCCACACAACAGTTGTTAGAGACAGTCAGAAGCAAAAAAAGCACAGCTGAGCATGTTAGTTTTCAGCTGGAGCTGAGGAAGAAGAACGCCACTTCAATCATCAAAGTGTAAGAGTTTGGCCTTTCATCTTTTGTGCGGTTATGTGTCTGAGCCAAAACCAAAACCAAAACCGAAAAGAACAGACCACTAAGGCTATAGACCGTAGTTACAAAGTCTCCAGTCAGATGATGGCTTTTGAAGCACATGCAGGTTACAATACCAACAACAACAACAACAACATTTGTCGACTTTTCTTTGCTGTGCATTTTTGTGGCCATAAAGGCTCTCCAACTTCCAACTTCAACCCGAACTCCAGCTCTGAGCTCCTACTGCTAGCTTCCCATTTGCAGCTGCTGATGCTGCTGCTGCTGCTGTGGTCGTAGGGTGCGCCAAGGCCAAGACCCTTGGTATCCAAGACCAGACCGGAGCACAGCTCTCGGGGCATTCATGAGAATTATATTCAAATTTTGTGCTGATTAGGAAGACGAGAACGACAAGGACGACAACTGGCAGCTGCCCATGAAATTGGAATTGAAGTTGAGGGTTTTAGTTGCAGTCATCGAGTGACTCTCGAATGGTTGTGCGTGTGTGTGTGCGTCTGCACTTCATTTTACAAATTTTGATTTAATTTAAGTTGATTGAAATTCAAATTCCGTTTTTGATTTGACAAAATGTGCACTTGAGGGCACAGTTTGGAGTTCTGTTGCTTTGGCCAACTGCACTTTACAACAAAATTGTTTGCTAATTGAAGTTCGGCAGCGTCGCAAATGGTTCTTTGAGTGCAACTGGTCAGCAATTAGAGAGCCGGACATGCCCAACTAGACAGCCTGAAGCTTCACGCATTTTCAATGGGATTGCCTTTGACAATGTTGGCAATTTGCGGCTTTGAAGTGTGGCAGCAATGCTTTAGAACATTTTTTTTGAAAAGTGGCAACAAGGCAATGAAGGTTGCCTACAGCGTATTTAATAGTTCTTTTCGAACGCTTTGCTGTAGTTTCCAATTAAAGTGTGGCAACAAGGCAAACGGTTTGGAAAGGCTTTAAAACAGCACTTTGAAATGTGGCAACAATGCAAAGCAAAAATGCCTTTACAAATTTATAAGGAGGCACTAAAGTTTGCCTACTGCGTATTAGTTATTTACTAACGCTTTGCTAGCGAGTTCTAAGTATATAGTTTTCAAACAAAGTTTGGCAACAATCCATGGAATGAAGATTGAAAACTGGCAACGGCGCTTCGAAAATTGAAAACAGGCTCTGAAAATTGGCAACAGTCTAAAGTATGCTGAAAAGTGTTTGCTATTAAATTATAAACAAATTGCTGGCAAATTAATTCACAATACTGAAAAAACGCTTTCCAGCAAATTAGCAACAACACCTTGCATAGAAGCTTGGCAACGTAGCAATGTAGTGTATCTGAGAGTCTTAAGAGCATGATGTTTATGTTTAACAATTAAAGCTAGACACTTTGAAAAATCAATCTGTTGAGATTAGAAAATTGCTCAGCAATACAATGAAGTTTGGCAACAGCGCAGCATGCAGTTTGGCAACAGTGTTAAAAAGCTTTATGCTAAATAGATGCTTGTTTATTATTTGTTAACAAGTTGAACGAACTCATTAGCCCTGACAGTACTTTGAAGCTTTCAAATCTTAAGCTTCTTAGCAATATGTAACTTACAGATACAGATACTAAGTATTTTGCAGTTACCATCTATGTTTGTGACTCGGCTTAATATGGAGTTACCCACAGATACACACACACAGACAGTAGAGTGGATATGTGCAGTTCCTATTTCAGACTTCATTGTCTTGTGTTTACTCTTTGGTTTGCTTAGCCTTACGTTTTTGCAACAACTCGCTAATGCACACACAGATATAAAATACATACACACTCTAACACACACACACACATGTTTATAGACAGACAACCAAATAAGTATAAGAATGGCAGCGTCGGCGGCGGCAACGACGCATGAAAACTCACTCAAATAGTTAGCAAACTTGTTTAGTTGCAATGAAGTGCGGCATGTTGCAAGTGTAACTGGAAGCAGAAAGCAAATTTGAGACCCCCAGACGACAGTTAAGCTGCAAACGCTCCGCAACGCTCCGCCCGTACATCCACAAATATTAGACAATGTATTTATGTATTGTCAAATACATGTGTCTGCTGCAGCAACTTACTTGATACGGTGGGGCGCACTCAATAGACTCAAGACACTGCAGATTCGTTGGCCTTGACAAACCCTTTAAAAAGGGGTCGGTAAATTGTGCTAAGAGCAACGATTTATAAAGTTTTCGATCAATATAGCAGAGTGTACAACAGCATAGAGCGAAGAAAATAAAATAGTTTTAATAGCTATTTTAAGCTCAACTTGTTTACTTTTAAAGCATTATTTGGCATATGATTTTGGTAGAAAAAGTTTCACAGATAGTTTACCAACACAGCTAAATAATAGTTGTATCTTAGCTGGTTTATCAACATTGGGTGAAAGCAATTGGATTACTATTCGAATTCAGAAAACTATAGATACATAATCTTTCTTATTATCTTTAGGGCATTTATGTTAGTTTTTCAGCAATAAAATTGCGTTTAGATCAATTTAAAAAGAAGCATTGGCAACGCTCTGTCAATAAGTTGGCAACGCTAAACTAAAGATTTGGCAGTGTTGATTAGCAAATATTTTATTTACATTTAACTTTTAATTTTGGCAGTTAGCAACGCTGCAGTTAGTCTATTTCAACAACATGTTAAAGTGATTGTTAAGTTTGACACACACACAAGAAAAACGCGTACGTTAATTCATTTAACGCTGGGTTAAACGCAAATCGCTGTCGATTAAATTGTTTAACTTATTTAAAAGCCAATTGATTAACGTTTAATTAACGCGATAAATAAAAGTTAATAAAATTAAGCCTTAATTACACAAAAATAAAATCAAGCTGATGGCAAATTAATAGAGCAGTTCTCGTTTTATAAAGCAATCAAAAAAGTAGCAGATAGACAGCGCACACACACACACACACACACCTCAATAGCCTGAAAATCGAGTGTATTTGGCAGCAAATAATGTTATATAATGCTCATGTTGCAAGTTACAAAATGCAAGTTGTAAAATTAATACTACATAAAATGGCACACACACACACACACACACGCACACCACATATATGTATGTGTCTATATGTACACATATATATTTCCGCAGCCCCGTTTCCCCCTGGATATGCTTCACCCTTTTGGGGCACTTCAAAAATTTAATAAACGTTGCAGCATCGTTCGCATGCCAATAATTTTACAGCTTGCCACGCGGCCCAACATGCCCGCCCCAAACAGCATGCACCATGCCACACCTCATAGGAACACCCACCCACCCCCAACAGCCCCACCAGCTTATCTTTCTATCTCTCTCACCCTTGTTGTGCGTCGTCAATTTGAAAAACATTGTCAATGCATATTTGGTCGTATGTATGCGTGTGTGTGTGAGCGTGTGTTTGTTTGCATGTATGGTGTGCGTGTGTGAGACAACTACTAAGCGTCATATTAACAACATTGTAACATGCACAGAACATAGCGGGGGCAGCGGGGCGGATTGGCGCTCATACAACGGTGGCAACTGTACCAGCCTCAGCACTCTTACAGTCAACCCCCTTGCTCTGCTTCTGCTTGTTCTTTATGCGCTTTTATTTATTTTCTCTCGCTTTTAAGTTTTTTTTTGCTTTTGGTTTTTTACCAACTATTTTTCAGTCAATTCCAACGAAAAATTTATAATAAATGCTCGTGCACATGTGATGTCGCGCATTTTAATTGGTAACCCCACCACCTTCTACCCCCTTTCCCCCCCCCCCCCCTTCCCACCCTTCCCCCTCTTCCGGCACACGCAAAAGAGAGAGACTGGCACCCGCAGCAATGGCAAAGGCTAGGCTGGCCTAGTCGCAGCAGAGCGGGGGAGGGCAGGGGAACTTATTGTCTGCGCTGCGGTTTAGCTGTAAAAACGATTGTCATTGTTGTTATTGTTGTTGTTGTTTATGCTAGTTGGTAAGTACTTCTGGGCCAGAACAGAACAAGGTGGGGGCCATGCGCAGGGGTGAAGGGGGGGGGGGGGGGCCCGCTCCATGACCTACGTGACAAGCCAAACCGAAGTTGGCAACTCTACAGACTGCAACTTGGTCGCCAGATCAAGTAAATTATGTGTATATGCAAC